AAAAAAAAAAAGCTGCTCTTTCTCAACGTACAGGATTCCATTTCATTCATTAGGTGTAGGATTGCTAGATTTATCAAATAAAAATATAGGACACCTAGTTAAATTTGAATTTTGATTGATAATAAATAATTTTAATAAATAAAAATAAACATATTTTTAGGATAGTATGTCTCAAGTATTTCATGATACATACTTCTACTAAAAATTATTTGTTGCTTATCTGAAATTCAAATTTAACTACATTCTATCTGGCAATCCTAACTAGGTGGTATCTTACAAGGAACTAGGAACAGAGTATCTGGAACATTACTTCAGATGTGGGGTTTCACATTATACAAGAAGATAAATATACTTTGGAATAAGGTATCCATTTCTTTCATAGATGTCCTGGAAAGAATTTACTAAGAGCCCACTTAACTTCTTCCTTATAGTAGTTCATTTGATAAATATTCCTGAGGATCACTTCTTTTCTTTCACTTTATATTTCTCTCTGGCTCATTTTCCTAACCTCTTACTCCCTGATGCCCCTTTCTTTATTTCCTACTCCCCCACTCCCTTCATGTCTCTGGATACACACCAGGATACACAGCACTGAGCTTCCTGAGTGTGTACGGCTGGGTATGCATATCCCCTTTGCATACTTTCATTTGGGAAAGCTACTTTGGTGATGTACCCTGTCTGGGGAGGGTGCGTAAAGGAATATCTGTCTTCTGCACGGTTCCCCTGCTCCCCTGGCAACAAGCCTTGAGAGGAGGTGAGGGGCAGAGGACATGCACTGAAGCAGCCCACGTGTCCTGACAGCAAAAAAGGAGAGTAGAGCTGTTCATGGGGCCTGGTGGGGGTTTCCAGGCTTAAGCAAAAGTCCTGGGTGAGAGCCTGGGGCTCTATCAGATGTTGGAGGGTTTAGATCGGGAATTTCCAGTCATGCAGGGGGTACTCTCCCACTGCCCCTCCCATCACCCCCCAGGAGAATACTCATTGCACAAGGGTCTGTGCTCTCCCCTCTCTCTGGGACATCGCAGGGCCCTTTCTTCACACTAGACAGTGTCCAGACCCCTCAGATTCACTGAGTCCCATGGCAGACAGTTCCCCATAGCAAAAGTGGCAAGGCAAAAGCATTAGGCCGAGAACCTAGATTTGCTGTCTGACAGCAGGAGCCAGCCGAAGCCAGCAGAGCAACTTGAAACACTGCAGGCTGATTCTGGGAAAAGAGGCCTTCAGGGTAAGGAAGATGTGGTCCTGGAGAAAAGCAGCTTGCTTTGGTTGCTGATGGGAACCTAAAAAACACTGCAACAGAGCTGAGACTGTGATCACATCGTGGGTGTGGCCTGCTACTCTAAGCCAGATCATCTTCTAGAACCCGGATTCCTCTAAACAGGCTCTGTGGCCTGCCCCAGACTGCAGGAGTCCTTTTTCTCCAGCTCTGGCAGCCTTCGACCAAGAGCAAAGAGTCTGTCTCTGGGCATGGCCCGTCTGCTTTCTCCTTGTAGCCACAGTCTCAGGTGGGCTGGGACATTCTGAGCTGAGATTCCTGCTAGGGACATGGGTGATGATGGCTGCACAAGGCAGCTGTCAACACCTCTGGCCCCACCTCCTCTCTCCCCTGGTGCCTGACTAGCCTAGGGCTGGGGGAGAGCTGGCTCCTTAGGTCTCAGGCTGCCTCACTGTGCATGGTTTAGTTATTGTCATGCTCTCCCACACGCCCTCCACAGGCCAGAAGCTATTACAACTTACAGGAAAACCAGAACATCAAATCGAGTCACAGAACTTTGGCTTTTAACTCAGTCCCCTGCAGCACCCCCCTGTCACATGCACCCTGTGAGTCACACCTGGTTGTCGATCTTGATCTCTGTCAAGGTGTCATTTTCTCTCAGTGCTTCTACCAGGGCCAGGATTCCAGTCCCAGTGATAAAATTGGATTCGATGTTTAGGCTTTTCAAGGTCTTGTTTACTTTCAGCATATCTGCAAAAGCCTTATTATGAAAAAAGAAATAACCATTAATGCTGCTAAAGATTTATTTACTGAACTCCCCACCGCCAAATGAAACACAGATGTTTTTTACGTACTTAAAGAAAAACTGAGTCAAATCAAACTTTCACCTCCAAATAACAAAGATAGTAATTTAAAATAATTCAGACCAGACCTGTGAATTTTACATACTTGTAAAACAAAAAATAACACCAAAAAATCCTGACACAGGATTACCAACTTTGTAAGGTATGGACATTGAAAAAAATCCCAGTACCATCTGTTATCATTGTCAGTTTTGTTTTGCGGTTTTTTCTCTGAGAAAAAGCATTTTAACATTAGGAAAAACAAAGAAAGGACATGATCTCCGAATTGTTTTATTTTGTCCCCTTTGCTATGAATAGATTAAAAAAAAACTTTACTGTTGACTAGCATATGGGCACTACTGATATTATTTCAGGTCATCTATAAACCAGAATTCCTCAAAGATAACTTTTGGAATATAATCACCACTCAGAGTGGCAAACCCACTGGAGACTCTCAGTTCAAAACAACAAATGCATGCACCTGCCTGTTCCCCTTGTGCCCAATGTTTCCCATTATCATAAAGAAAAGATAAAATCTTTGAGTGACTGGAACTCTCATAGTACAAGAAACAAACAAACAAAACAGAGGGCCATTCCCTTGAAAAATTGCTCACGCACAGAAAAAAAAAGAAAGATTGATGGAGAAATGAACACAAAAAAAGTTGTTGCCTGAGATGCCAGAGGTAAGTCCTGACTGGGGCACTGCATCAAAGAACTGCCTTTGGAACAAATGGAATAACCAGAGCAGATGGAGAGCACATTGCCCCTCCCCATAGCTTCCCTGAGACAGAAGCCACACAGAAACAGGGCACCTTCAGACCTACCACCTGATACCATGTGGGAGAAACAGAGAGGAGAAGCAGCCATGTCCAGGGATGAAATATACTGCAATGTACCCCTCCCAGAGTGAAGCCCCTCCTAACTGTAGAGTTGTGGGGGATTCCCAAGCCACCTGTCAGCTCCCCGTATATACCCTTCAAGAGAAGGCTGCTAGAAAATTCACCTGCCTGCTTACAAAAGCACTCATTCATTCATTCATTCATTCATTCATTCACTTATTCAAAAAAGACTATTTATTGGGTTTCTACAGTGTGCTGGCAGCAGAGGAAATAAAAATCCCTGTCAAAAGAGAGCTTATATTTGAGCAGGAGGGCAGTTGATACATCAATAAAGAAGATACATAGCCTGTTGGATGGTGACAAATGGAGAAATAGAAAGCATCTCCCTTTAAAAATTTTTTTTAATGTTTTTATTTATTTTTGAGAGAGAGAGAGACAGAACATGAGCAAGGGAGTGGCAGAGAGAGGGAGACACAGAATCCGAAGCAGGCTCCAGGCTCCAAGCTGTCAGTACAGAGCCCGACGTGGGGCTCAAACCCGCGGACTGTGAGATCGTGACCTGAGCTGAAGTCGGACACCCAACCGACTGAGCCACCCAGGTGCCCCAAAAGGGTCTCCCTTTTAAGGGAGAGGTCTGTTGATGAAACAGATCTACACAACTATGGAGGAAATGATCCTGGTTTACACAAAACAACCTCATTCTCTATTCAGAAATCTGGCAACCAGTGATTGCCAGACATACTAGGAAAACCAACATCATGGAAGAGAAAAGCCAAGTCAACCAATAGCACAGCATGCCCCAGAGGGAGCAGAGATCTTTCAAGGGAACAGAAACAAATATAAACATTTTAATTGTTATTGTCCCTCTTCCCTCTCCCCAAAAAAGAAAGAAAATGTACTCTATTAATAAAATAAGTACTGGCTATTATGGGGGGAAAAAGAAGAATATGCACATGAAAATGTGTTGAAAAATTTAAATATTACATTAAAATAAAGACAAGTAAAGGACATCCAGAATTACAAAATGAACACGGCTGAAGACCAAGTTGGTAAGTGAGAACATAAATCTGGGATATTCCCCAGAATGTCGAGTAAAAAGACAAAGATAGAGAAAATAGGAAAGAAATGTTAAAAGATACAGGGAAAGATACAGAAGTTCAACATTTATCTAGTAGGAGTTTCAGAAGGACAAAAGAAAAAAAAAAGACATCAGAGGGGAAGAAATTATAAAGTAATAGGAGAAAATTTCCTAGAGTTGAAGAGAACTATGAATTTATATATGAAAGAACCCACCGGGGGCACCTAGGTGGCTTAGTCAGTTAAGCATCTCTTGATTTCAGTGCAGGCCATGATCTCACAGTCTGCGAGTTTGAGCCCCACGTCAGGATCTGCACTGCTGGTGCAGAGCCTGCTTGGGATTCTCTGTTTCTCCCTCTTTCTCTGCCCCTCCTTCACTCTAGCGCTCTTCTCTCTCTCAAAAACAAACATTAAAAAAAAAAAAAAAAAAAAAAGAATGCACTGGATGCTCAGTAAAATGAGTAAAAAGTGGTCACAAACAAGTGAAATTTCAGAAAAGTTTCTAGCAAGAGAAAATAAGTTACTTAACAAAGCAACAAGACTCAGACCAGCATTAGTCACTAGACTGTAAGGGCCATGAGAAAGAGATTTCTATATTTACATATTTAGGTAATTGTAAATACTGGTGGTAAGTTTTAAATTTCTGCAATCAATCTCTTAACAAAACACAGAATATAATGGCATAAAACACACATAAAGCTGAAATGTGTGAACATAATGGAATAACTACAACTTGAGGCAGAAAAAGGAAAAGGGATGAAGGCAGAGTACAGAACTGCCATCAGCTTTTCTAATGGAGAAACAAAAGATCAAAAACAAAAAAGTGTGCATATCAGTGGTTTCCTACTCTGGCTGTACATTAGAATGATCTAGAAGCTTCAAAATGTATACCAATGCTTGGGCCTCACCCCAGATGAAGTAAATCGGAATCTCAGGCTGTATGTAGCCTGGACTGCTAAATTTTTTAAAAGCTCTCCAGGTGATTAATGTTCACCAGGGTTGACAACCACTTTAATTAAAGTTATAAAGACAACAACTAGAAGAATGAAAAACAAATTGGTAATACCGATTGCTCTGGGGAATGGAACAAGGACCTTCTATATTATTTTAATTATTTTTATGGTGGAAAACACAGGAAGAAGGAAGAGAAGGAATCTAACTTGGGATCAGAACAGGATTTCTCAACTTTGGCACCAATGACAGTTGAGGCCAGAGAATTCTTTGTTGTGGGAGGTTGTCCTGTGTATTACAGCATGTTTAGCAGCTTCTGAGACCAGTTAAATGCCAATAGTACCCTTCCCAGTCATGACAACCAAAAATATCTTCAGACACTGCCAAATGTCCCCCGGAGAGCAAAATTACCCTGAGCTGAGAAGCACCAGACTAGAAGAAGAAATCCTGTGTATTAGACAAGCACTTGCTTTAACTGCAAAGAAAGCTCAAAGATTTGGACTAACCTTATTGTACACCACGTAAATTAAAGTGTATTTATTCCCTGCTAGGTCCTTAATTAGAATTAAACGCACACATTTTAATTACAGCATCAGAAGGAAATGCATCAGGCTTTTCCTCATGGACGCCCCAGGCTTCAGGATTTACGCTCATTATTAGAATAACAAAATGTCGGAGCAATTAGGCCTTTATAAAAAGAGTTGCAGGACTTCCTGGCAAGTAGCCAGGATCTTGCCAATTTCTTTTAAACTTGAGAAAACACTTTTCTCATACTGAACAAAACAAGGGAGACCCAGCCAAACATAACCCTGGGCTGTAGGCCCAAGTTAATTTCAGTTCAGCAAATATTTAAGCATCTATTACATGTGCTGGGGATAACATCGGTAAAACAAAGACCAGATTTCTTAAATGTTATATAAATAATTACAGTAGAAATACATTTTTAAAGAGAAGGTTTTGCTTTCTGTACTTCACAGGATTGTAGGGAAATCCAATTTCCTGCATTGTCCAAACCTGCCTCATCCAAAGGGTAGCCTCAAGGCACATGTGGCTATTGAGCCCTTGAAAAACGGCTGGTCTGAATTGAGACATGCTGTAAATATAAAACACGCACTAGATTTCAAAGATGCAGTATGAAAAAAATAATGTAAAATACCTTATTACATTTTCACATTACATTTCGAAATGATCATATTTGGGATATATTGGTTCAAATAAAATATGTTATTAAAATGAATTCCACCTATGTCTTTTTTTTAATGTGGCTACCAGAAAATTTTTATATTTATACATGTGGCTTACATTTGTGGCTATCTCATTTTGTTATGGACCGTACTGTCTAAAAGAGCATTTTTTAATGTATGTGGACTTTTTCTGCTCCCTGCTACAGATGTGGTTGCATGTAAGTACTTGGTGCATGGTGAACTGAACCTAATTACAGGTCACTTAAATTCACTTCCTGGCTTGTCTACATGATGTGTAGTCTTAGTTAAATTACTCAACATCTATGAGCTTCAGGTGCCTCATCTGCAAAGTGGGGATAATGCCATCTCACATACACATAATTTGCCTACCTTTACAGTAATCCCACAAGTACTTCATTGAATCTGTTCCTGAATCTTACAAAGAAGTCTCCTAAAACTCTTTGCTTTAACACTGATCTTTCATTATTTTTTTCCTCTCTTTTTTTAAGGTAATCTCTTAACCCAAAGTGGGCTCAAACTCACAACCCCCAAATCTAGAGTTGCATGCTCTACTGACTGAGCCAGCCAGGCACTCCCATCTCTAATTCTTTGCAGGCAGTTGCTAGTGATAATCAAAGTTTGAAGATCTCTATTGCCTATGGGGTAATCAACCAATTTTCAACCTACAGTAGGTTGAAAAGTAGCTTTCTCCACTCTGGCATGACTGAAAGGAGAGCCATGGGGGCAGCCAGGTGAGGGCTGGACAATATAAAGCCATCTAGGAATAAGGCCAGAGAGGCTTATGTTTTCACACCCTGAAGAACTGCAACTATTCCTTACAATTGTGTGGTGAGCCAGAGTCACACGGTATGCTTTCAACACACAGCTGTTGCACTAAAAACAGTATCAAAGAGATGATTATATTTGGATTTTATTTAGACCACTTAGCAAGTTATCTATTTGACTGAGTGGAAGAGTTACATTATTTGCTAGTAGGGTTGACAGTGGACTATAACCTATTTCCATCCCTACAGTTTTACTGTCATGTAATACACTGAAGTGACAAATCATTTCTTTATTCATACCCTAGTCACTTGCATACAAAAGGTACTGGGAATATTTTGCTTTATTGAGAACCTATCTACTGAATGACAGAGACTATATAAAATCATATACCGATAAAAGTCCTTAAATAACTGATTTCACCTTTACCAATGATCTAGTTCCGCTATTTTACTATTTTAATGATAAGGTTTCAAATTAAAAACTTCTTTCAACCCACAAATTGAGATATAATTACTGCTGGTGAAAACATCAATTCTGTAGCTTAGTTCCTCTTACATGAGTGCTTATTTTATATTTGCTGTGGTCATCACAGAAATATTCTCTATTGCTGAGAGGTTGGAGGGCATGGTATTCATCCATTTAACAAGTGTCCAAACATCTACTCTGTGCTAACACTGCAATAGGTAGCCATTACTTTCATTTTACTTTCCGTTTTTAATGCTATTTTAGATCTTCCAACAGACATGTTGCTTTAAATCACATCATCACGTCAAGAAAACTTGTTTTTCTAGCTTGACTCAAAGGCTGAGCATTAGATGCTGTAGAATTACAGGCTGATGTTCAGGCTCTCCAAAACTGATATACTTTAGCAAAAGTATGCAAGTTGAGGCATTGTGTATAAAAACAGCATAGCTTGATGGTTAAAGCATCCTGGCTATAGAATCGGGAGGACCTGGTGGTGCCACTTACTGGCTGTGTTACCCTGGAAAAGATATTCAACCTCGCTGAGCCTCAGATTGCTCATTTGTTACAGTGGGAACTAATAACAGCACATACCTTATAGTATTATAGTGAGGATTAGGTGAGCTGACGTGTGTAATGCATAGAGCTTACTGATGGTGTTTACTAATTGCTGAAGAAATGTTAGCTATTTATAGCAATAACATTGATGGTGGTAACAGTTGTAGTATTTACTTGGGCCAAGGGCCTTCCTTATTTAGCTGAATTATCTAAAATGCATGGAAGGAACAGGGCTTTTGGCTGGTTACTTTTTTCGTATTCTGGTTAACAAAAAATGTTTTAAGATCTAGTTGTTTAAAATATTTTTGAAACATACTAATCCATTTCAAAGATTAAAATGAAATACACTTTAATACTTTTATACATGCTCAGTTCCTATAGGATTTGGGAGTCTTACAATATCCACTGACTGTGACATTATGTTAATATAGATGCAAAAGCTTCAGAAAATTTGTACTAAGTACAGAGCAAAAGCTAATATTTATGTAGCTAAATGCCTAATCTAATCTTATTTCTTTCTCCTCAAAGTGTACTGCTAACAAAATTTTAGTTAATTCAAAGTGCCTGACAGATGGGTTCTGTTTTATTGTCTTATTATAACTAATGTGTTTAACTGCGTAGAAAATTACCAGACCTAAAAACTGTTAATTTATAGAACACATTAAAAACAGTTTCTAACAAATTAAATATTTTCATGTAATATTTCTGAAATTTTACTCACAATTGCCACAGGGTCATTGCTGCGGGTTGCAGCCAGGCTGAACTTCTTTACATGAGTGTTGGTTTCCAGAGCCTTTGCAAATTCCTTCAGGGTTGGAATTGGAATGTTCTAAAATGGGGGAAGGCACAGAGAGTTGATAGACCATTCTGTAGCTCCCCCACCCCAACTCAAGACCCACAGCTTTTAAATACCTTATGTGTTTAGATGGCTAAATGTGTGACATCCCTTCTAAAATACTCATTACCCATCCTCCAGCAGCCAAGCCATCCTGGGCTGACAGCACCACTTAGTATCTAACAAGGGAATCTAACACATCATGACATTCTGGCCTCCCTGTTCTGTTCACTCTGACCAAGAAATTATGCACATACCAAACTCCACTCCTCTTCTCTTTCATTCTCTATATTCTAGCCAGATTCATCTATGTGCCATTCTTTTAATATACCATGGTCTTTCTCCCCTCCATACTCTTATGTATGGTTTTCCCTTTGCCTGGAAATTCTACTGTCCTTTTCTCTGATTAATTCCTACTCATTTTTCAAGACGCAGCTGAATATCACCTCCTTTGTTCACTGGCTTTCCTAGGCAAGATAAAAAATTTCCTTATCTGCAATTCCACAACTTTTGGGGGCTTACCACATCATGTTGTAGTTATTGATTTAGTATTTTTCTCCTAATATAAGTTTTTCAGAATAAAGACAAAATGAATCTTACTCCATCTTTCACAGCACTTAGCACAGCCCCAACCACTGGGAGGCAGGCAATACAGGGTAGACCAGAGGTTGATATGAATCCTGGGTTCATTACAGACTAGCTCCATGGCCGTGAGCAATTTAATCTCCTTAAGTGCCACTACAGATTAAATGAGATACAGTAAGTTCCCCTTATCCATGGGGGATATGTCCCAAGACCTTGAGTGTATGCCTGTAACCACGGATAGCACTGAACACTTATGTTTTTTCATATACATACACACATACCTATGATAAAGTTTAATTTATAACTTAGGCACAGTAAGAGATTGACAACAGTAGCCAATAATAAAACAACAATTGTAACAATATATTGTAATAAAAGTTACATGAATGTGGTCCCTCCTTCTCTCTCAAAAGATAGCTATACTCACCCTTCTTCTTGTGATGTGAGATGATAAAATGCCTATGGAATGAGGTGAGGTGAATGACATAAGCACTGTGATTGAGGGTTAGGCTACTAATGACCTTCTGACAGTCTGTCAGGAGGATCATCTACTTCTGCACTGTGGTGGTTGACTGCGGTAACTGCAAACCATGGAAAGCAAAACCGCAGATAGAATGGAACTACTGTAATGAATTTCAAGTATTTAGCAAAGGATAAGGCTCACAGTGAATACTCAACACAAGTCAGTTATTATTAAATGGCAGATGTTGGCCCAAAATGAAGTAACAGAATGGATACCAGGCAATGTTCTCTCTCCATCTCTCTCTCATCTCTCTCTCACTCACACACACACATACACACACTTCCTTCCCCTCCCTTTGAGAGTAACATGACTAACTACCAAACAGAATAAGGCAGAAGTGACAATGTGTGACTTCAGAGAATAGGCCATAAAAGGCACTGTGGTTTCCTGCTTGTTCTTTCTTTTTCTCTTCAGCCACTCCCTCTGGGAGAAGAAGGCTGTCATGACATGAGGCCACACAGGCAGCCCTATGGAGAGGCCCATGTGGTGAGAAACTGAGGCCTCCTGCCAACAGCCACATGAGTATGCCATCCTGGAAGTGTACCCTTCTACCTCAGTCAAGCATTCTGCTGATGGCAGCCCTTGATGACAGTTTTACTACAGCCTCACTTGAGACCCTGAGCCACAACTATCCAGCTAAGTCCTGATTCCTGATACTCAAAAACTGTGTGAACTAACAAATGTTTATTGTTTTAAGCCTCTAAGTTTTGGAGTACTTTATTACTCAGCAGTAGATAACCAACATTCTTTGTTTAACACAAATACTGTGATTCTTTGCAAAAAATTCTAGAAGTCACTTTTTAAAAATTTCTTCTTTTGAGTAGGATAGCTTGCCTCAAAGTCAGTGACTACAGAGGATTGGAAACAGGTGTGAAAACTGGCCATCAGTTATCTCCACTACATTTTTTAACCTCATGATAAATCAAGTGACTGACAATAATCATAACGCAATACCTTAATGTTGTTGAGGTTGACATCTTGCAGGCCGGGGTCATTGGCTTTCATCTGCTGCAGACTCAGTTCCACATTGGTGGGATTGGGTGGTTCCTCAAATACTGGCTTGACCTTCTCACCTTTGACCACATCTAACACACAAGTTTTAATTTTAAAAAGAAAGTGTAAGGGCTCTCCTGCCAAAATCAGAGATGACTTCCCCCAAAACGACCTTTCCTTCCTATGCTCCGATTCCAATAATACTCTAATATCAGTGATAGTAAAGCTGATGATTCTCAACTAAACAAACATGGGAATGGTACAGTTCTGAGTCACAGTTTCAAACACTGATGTTTCTCAACTGCAATGCAAAGAAGTCTCAGTGGCTGATGCTACATGGAACCAAAAGTTCAGAAGGCTCTATAGTAAACTCCAACCTACCCCCCCCCCGCCCCACCAAATCCACAAGCAGTTATTGCTGCTGTATATGGACCACTTTCAGACTATAATCATCAAGCTACAGGAGCTGAGATTCAAAAAAGAAATAAGTTTCTTCATTTCCAAAACCATACTATTCCTTTGGCCTCTGTTTTTTTAAATATTATTTATTTATTCCTTTTAAGTAGGCTCCATACCCAATGTGGGGTTCAAACTCATGACCTTGAGATCAAGAGTTGCTCTACCAATTGAGCCAGCCAGGTGCCCCTTCTGGCCTCTTGACCATACCTCATCCTTCTCTGATTTCCATTTGGAGCTTTAATTTTGAGGAAGGTATGGGAAGAGAAAGGGACAGAAAGGCAGAATGGAACAATTCTCAAAAGCAGTTAACAGAAAACATTTGCAGTATATATTTAACATACAAACTGTTACTATCCCAATATACACAGGGCTCCTACAAATTAGTAGACAATCCAATTAAAAATGAACAAATAATATGATCAGAAGAATCTGTCACTCAACCAAAAATATAAAAAGTAATTAAATTGTGAAGTTAAAAAATGGAACACTATTTGACTAGCACAAAAATGTAAAAAGAGATAACACGTAGAATTGGCAACAACTGTGAAGTCAAACACATCCTCTTACGTTGATGGTGAGAACGTAAACTGGTACAAACTTTTTGGGAGTAATTTGGCCTTACTTATCAACATGTAAAATGTGGGTACTCTATGACCCAGTAATTCTGTATCTAGGAGTCTAATCTACAGAGAAAAAAAAGCACAAATACATAAAGGTATTTTTCAAGGATGTTCACTGACATATTACTTGTGACAGCAAAATATGATAAACACAAAGCCTATCAATATGAAAATGGTTAAGTTACAGCATAATCTCTCATAATAAGATGTGATCTATTCATTAAAAGAAGGGGGCAAACCGACATGTACTGATAAAAGAAGAGAACCACAATTTGAAAAAAAGTTAATGAAAAATGAAATACTTAGGTATTTCATTTGTACGTATAAAAAATCTGTACAAGATCTAGATGAAGAAAACTACAAAACTTTATTGAAAGAAATCAAAAAGAACTAAATGGAGGGATAACTGCAAGAGAACCAATATTGTCAAGATGTCAGTTCTTCTCAACTTGAGGTATAGATTCAATGAAATCCCAGCAAGTTATTTTGTATACATCAACAAACTGATTTTAAAGTTTATAGGAAGAGGCAAAAGACCAAGAAAAACCAACACAATACTGAAAAAGAACAAAGTTGGAGGACTGACACTACTCAACTTTAAGACTTACTACAAAACTACAGTAATCAAAAGAGTGTGGTATTGGCGAAAGAATAGACAAACAGATCAATGTAACAGAGTAGAGAGCCCAGAAATAGATCCACATAAATACAGTCAACTGATTTTCAATAAAGGAGCAAAAAATGCAATAGAGAAGAGTATTTTCAGTAAATGGTGCTAGAACTGGACAACCATACACAAACAATGCATAAAAAAAGAGTCTAGACACAGACCTTAGACCCTTCACAAAAATTAACTCAAAAATTTTCACCTAAATGTAAAATGCAAAACAATAAACCCCCTAGAAGAAAGCATAGATGAAACTACGCTGCATGATATCATAATGGTGGATCCATGTCATTATACATTTGTCCAAACTCATAGAATGTACAACCCCAAGAGTAAACACTAATGTAAACAACAGACTTAGGGTGATAATGATGTGTCACTGTAGGTTCATGAAGTGTAACATATGTACCACTCTGGTGGGGGATGTTGGTAATGGAGGAAGCTATGCATGAATTGAGGACAGGGAGTATATGGGAAATCTGTGTGCCTTCTGCTCAGTTTTGCTGTGTACCTAAAATTCTAAAAAAAAAAAAAAAAAAAAAAAAAAAAAAAAAAAGCCTTAAAAAAAGTTAATGATATGTCTGTGCATAAAAGCCCAGAAGATTATGTGCCAGATTTTTAAAAACAAACATGTTGTCAGAATGTTACCCTTTGATACTGAAGTTAAAAAGGATAAACATTTTTCATCTATATGAATAGGCAAAAATGAAAAAAAAAGTAATACTGCTCATTGTTTGGATAAATAGCTCAGTATCAATGATGGTCTGTAAATATGCTGCTCAGACTAGAAAGTACCTGCTAAGTCTCCTTCAAAGAGAATAAAATACACTTCACCTAAGAAAAATCTGTAATCTTCTGCAAGTTTTTACAGCACCTGGATCGCACTGTAGCAAAATTACTTGATTGTTGGTCCGTCCCTCCCATGGACAGATAAGTTCCTTTAGGCAGAGACCATTTTTTATCTTCATACCTAGAACATTCCTGATGCATAAGGTATTCAGTAGATAACTAATGAATGAGTAAATACGAGAGTCTAATAAAGTGTACGCTTTTCTGGGAAATGCTGACACAGAGAATTGTGGTCTTGAACTTTCTGTGCCGGCTAAGTCCATGCCAGTGTGTCTTTCACGTTCTCAGGGGGAAGTAGGAATTCAAATTCTAATGACCTGTGTCCATTATTGAGAAAACAAAGATACCTAATAGAAAAGGGAACTTACTGAAAATACTATTATTGATTAAAAAGCATCATCAGGAACATGAAACTCTGCAATCTCTGTTGACTATGCAACCTTTTTATCAGCAATTTTATATTTTGGGTGAGTAGACCCACCAAAAGAGTATGTTCTGGGCAAAACACACTGATTGGTCCATTATGCTGCAAAAACTTTGATTATTGGCTTCCCTATTCTGGTTTGAATGCCCAGAGCCCAGTGATCCTTAGTGCGTTGACAGAATCTACCTTCAAAGCCTACAGGATGGAACTCTGGATTCAACAGGCATCCCTCTTATCAACACCACCTGAAGCTCTCAATTTTCACACACCACAGACTCCACATCAACTTACTTCTCACGGGCACTTTGCCACCTTTAGTGCTGGCCGTTTCTTCATCAAACTTTGGATTGTTGAGTAAATTGTGTACTCCAAGAACAGCTAAAAACAAAGATTAACAGTGAATATACATTAAGTTTGGGAAGGCACATTAGGATGTCCACAATGTTAATTTTCCTTGAAGAACAATTCTTCGTATCATAAAGGTAAGTGTCCAGAGCCCCCCAGCCTTGCATAGTGTGTGGGACACATACAGTGTTAAATAAGCTTATATATTAAAAAAATCTCTTTCCAAGGCCACCAGCAATCTTCAGATGTCTTTCTGGGGCTATACAGGTAGAATCATTTAGCATCTGGGGACAATGGTCCAGTTATGTCCCCAAATTACTGAAAACTTGCTTAGACCTCCTAGTTAAGTAGACTCAACCTTTCTGTTTTCTCATCTGTAAAATGTGAAGGTGGGACTGAGTCTCAGGATATTTTAAGATCTAACGTTATATAGATTACAGCATGTACTCTCCCAGAGGCAAATAACAGAAAGATCATGGGCCTCTTTCAATGTAAGCCACCCCTTTCTCAGGACCAACAGTTTTCCTCTCCAGTTTACAGCATCCTAGGGTGGTAAATAAAAGAGATGTCAGCAATAAAAGGCCACATAAGCATACTGAGATTTTCAGTCTCCTGTATTATGTGAAGCTTGCACCAGGAGGCAGCACAGGACACAAGAAACAGCACTGGGCGAGAACGAGCTCTGGGCAGGCTGAAACACAACTGCCCGATCTTCCGATGAAACTGTACAGATGAGACTGGCCACCTGGAGAAGAATCCCAGGACAAGTCATCTGTCAATAGGTAGTGGAGGAGCATCTCAGAGCTCCTCATCAGCTGTACCGTAATCGACACATCAGGAGGAGGGAGGCAGCCAGCAGCAGCCCAATAAAGGGCAAAGATGTAGAGCCAACAAGTCCAGGGTTAAGAATGGTACTCAGGAGCAGTCACCTAGAGTTAGAATCCTGGTTCTATCACAATCTACCTGTGTGACTTGGGAAGTTACTAAATGCCCCTGAACATCAGCTTCCTCATCTGTAAAATAGGGATAATAATTATTCTTCAAGTGTTACAAAGATTAAATGACTTCCCATGCATCAGACAATGTTCTAAGTGCTTTACACATTCTTGTTAAAGAAATAAGAATTTGTTGCTGTGTTTCTGGCACTGCCTAAGGAGAAGACGCCCTATTTGTTTTTTTAATTTTTTAAAAATTTTTTTCTTTTTTTTTTCAATATATGAAGCTTATTGTCAAATTGGTTTCCATACAACACCCAGTGCTCATCCCAAAAGGTGCCTCCTCACACACACATCACCCACCCTCCCCTCCTCCCACCCATCAACCCTCAGTTTGTTTTCAGTTTTAAGAGTCTCTGTGCTTTGGCTCTCACTCTAACATTTTTTTTTTTTTTTCCTTCCCCACCCCCCATGGGTTTCCTGTTGTTTCTCAGATCCATATAAGAGTGAAACCATATGGTATCTGTCTTTCTCTGTAATGGCTTATTTCATTAGCATAACACTTTGCAGTTCCATCCATGTTGCTACAAAGGCCACAATATTTCTTTCATTGTGCTGTAGTATTCTTATGATAATAACATTTCTTTGCTCATCCTTCATCAAGGTTGATGGATTTGAGGCTCTTTCCATAATTTGGCTTTATTGTTGATGGTACGCCGCTATAAACGTTGGGAGGCCTAAATTGCCCCTATGCATCAGTACTCCTGTATCCCTTGGGTAAATTCTCAGCATCTGTGCTGGGGTCATAGGGTAGTCTATTTTAATTTTCTGAGGAACCTCCCACTGCTTTCCACGGCAATCACCACTTTAATTCCACCTACAGTGCAAGAGGTCCTGCTTTCCCACATCCTCTCTCAGCATCTATAGTCCCTGATTTGTTCATTATTTTCACTCTGACTGGCGTGAGGTGTATCACGGTGGTTTATGTGTATTTCCGACGAGGGCCAACTGAGCAGAATCACTATTTGGATGAGACACGAGCCACTTAGGTCATCCAAATAAATCTTGCTTTGGCCCTATATGCACTGAGCAACTTTTTTTTTTTTTTTTTTAGATTTTTTTTTTAAGTTTAGTGTTGATTGAGAGAAAATGTGTGAGCAGGGGAGAGGCAGAGAGAGAGGTTGACACAGAATCCGAAGCAGGCTCTAAGCTCTGAGCTGTCAACACACAGCCCGAGGGCTCAAACTCACAACTGCGGGATGTGACCTGAACCTGAGAGTGGATGCTTAACCTACTGAGCCACCCAGACGCCCCTTCACTGAGCAACTTCTAATTATAATTTGGCTCCCCTTGCCAAGTTTCAATTTTTGTTTTATCTGTTTCCTGGGAATCTGGCTAGTGGATCTGCCCCAAACTGATGGCCCTTATGTGCATAGACAAGATGAAATCTCTAGACCAGCAGAGCTGGTGGTCAAGCTGAGGTACAGACGCTCTGAGAAATGCTGGCTTGGCGGTCAGCTGCTGCTCCCTTGCCATTGTCTACCTGCCATCATAACATGTGCAGGCCATTGATACTCATTGTTATCTAAACCTCACTGGCTGTCAGCCCATCCACTCACGGGGCTGCTTTTGATCTTCCAGAAAGATCCACCCTAGAGAAGATGCTGTCACCCACCCCCAGGTGGGCTTCGTGAGCTCTGAGGGAGCACCTGACGATGGAGTGAGGCTGAGTAGAGATAATAACACAGTTTTCTTTCTGGATTATTCCCCTGGTATTATTATTGTATGAATTTCAGAATCTAGATTCTTTCAAATGGTTGGTGTTTTTCTCTTTCTCCTTTCTTCAGCATTTCCTGGGAATTCGAACCCAGCCATGCATTCTCCCTTTGGGCATGTCCATGAGACAACCCTTGAGAGGAGCAGTAACCATAACAAGATCCCTCCACAGCAACCACAGGGCTAAGAAAAAAGGTCACTGCAAAGCACCTTCTTAACTGCATGATGCAGATGCCTTAACTCCTGCAGTGATTTCTGAGACAGGTTCAAATATGTGAACTTAATATTGATGACTATCACAGAAGGAATGGAAATGTAGCTGAGATGGCATGGCTGGTTCTCCTGGGAGGGAGGATTATTATTACAAATGTCTTTCAGGGGAATAAAGATGTGAGAATTTTTGCCAAAGCTTGTGGACTGTTTCTGAAAGCACCTTTATCCTGTGGTGACCTAATAACCCTAATAATCCATATTTACATCCCACTTGGAAAAAAAACACATCCCATTAATGCACAAATATGCTGGTATATGCATAGAATCTTTCTTGAAGGATATATTAGAAATGGGAGGAGGCTTAATTAGGGTAAGAAACTTTTTTTTTTAACATTTATGTATTTATTTTTGAGAGAGAGAGAGAGAGAGAGAGAGAGAGAGAAAGAAAGAGAGAGAAAGTGATTGGGGGAGGGGCAGAGAGACAGGGAGACAGAGAATCCCAAGCAGGCTCTGTGCTGTTAGCACACAGCAGGATGCGGGGCTCAATTCCACGAAACGTGACATTACGACCATGAGCCAGAATCAAGAGTCGGGTGCTAAACCGACTGATCCACCCAGGTGCCACAGAAACTTACTTTCAGTACATAGCCTTTTGTTGTTGTTGTTATGTTCCAGTAATAGTTTATTTACAAAAACAGGAGGCAGGTCGCAGTTAGCTGACCCCTAATCTACTGCCATCTTGACTTCCCATTCTTCTATACTATTTGTGTTTTGCCTATCTGCATGTATAATCAATTCAAATCATAACAACATTTACTATTTTGTTGCTATCGTTAAGAAAACTAGAAAAAGATGAGATCGGGCTGATTGGCTTTACTTCCTGCATGGATGTAATGGTAAATAAATCCTGCTCCATTGTGGGGCTAACAAACCTCTTAGTGGCAATCAGAATGGAATGGGGACTGTGGGGAAGGGCAAGAGCTTCATGAATATTTTATGAGGATAAAATGTGATAAAATGCAAATATGAAAGCTCCTAAGAAAGAGTGAGGGCTATTATTTTGTTGTTTAAATTCTCAGTGCTCCTTTAGATTTATTCCCTTTGGTTTCTCAAACTCTTGAATTTTGTAACATAGGTATTATTGGGACAGTTTACATCTGAGATAGGACTCTAAATTTTATAGCTGAGACACATACAGCAAAGTAAGGTTTGCTCAGAGAGGTTAAGTCACTTGCATTGAGTCTTACAGCCACATAATAACAGAAGACAACCTGGTATTGCAATCCTTATCAGTAGTTACAGAGAAGCTCAAAGGCTGCTGCTGGGGTGCCGGTGAGTGCCTGGAGGTCACAGAGCCAGACAGGCAAGGTTCCCAGAGTTGAGGACTAACCTGCAAGATCATAGAGTTCGGTGTCAGAGGCGCTGGCCAAAGCTTCTTCTAGTTCTGGGTCAAGGGTCACTTTTTCTTCTTTACGAGTTTCTACGGGCTTTTCTTTGGGGATGAAGACTCTCCCTTTAAATCAGAAGAAAAACAATAACCATTGTGTGTTGCTGACCAGGGTAGGGTAAAAGGACTGACCAGACAATGCAGCTCTGGCCACTAAAAGTTGCATGCCCAATTGGGATTCCTTAATTGCTGGGATGGCAGTAGCATTAATCCACTATCAGAGGGAAGGAATGTCAGAGGAGGAATCCTGTGTTTTGCAACACAAAGATGTGAGGAGACAACAGTCTTTAAACAGACAGGGAAACGGTAGTTTTTACCTCTCTACCATTGATCGCCACCATTGCCCTTATACCTGGACAAGAGAGGTCCTGCCACAGGCCCCACACTTTAGAGGGCCCCACTCTGGTCTTCCTCTCCTGCAATCTCCCTCCTCCCCATATCGAGGAAGGAGTCATGGGGTCAAAGGGACATTACCATCCAGAATCCAGGCCACCTGCTAGACCATGCTCCATGCATCTAGAACCCTGGAATTCTCTGCCCAAAGACACCTAAACCTGCTTCCAAGGCCTGCATGAATCCCTTCCCCGTGTCACTCTAGGCCAAGAGGAGGCTATTTGTGGGTGAGTATAGATGAAGCTTGGGTATGTAGGCTGGGTGTCAAATATGTGTGCTGAAGCCCAGCAGTGTAAGACAGACTCATATGCTTGCATGAAACTTTTAGAAGTCCAAGAATCCTGGCTTTCTAGGTGTATTTGTAGCAGTGTGTGTGTGTGTGTGTGTGTGTGTGTGTGTGTGTGTGTGTGTGTATTATTTATTTATTTAGTTTGAGAGAGAGAAAGAGAGCATACATGAACAGGGGAGGGGAAGACACAGGGAGAGAGAAAATCCAAGCAGGCTCTGCGCTATCAGCATAGAGCCTGACACAGGGCTCAATCCCATGAACCATGAGATCACGACCTGAACTGAAATCAGTAGTCAGATGCTTAACTAACTGAGCCACCCGGTGACCCAAACATATATATTTTTTTTAAGTTTGTTTATTTTAGAGAGAGAGAAAGAGCATGAAAACAGGCAAGGGCAGAGAGAGAGGGAGAAAGAGAATCCCAAACAGGCTCTCCACTGTCAGAGCGGAGCCCAATCTCATGAACTGTGAGATCATAACCTGTGCTGAAATCAAGAGCTGGATGCCTAACCAACTGAAAGACCCAGGTACCCCACAGTATAAAACATATTTTAATAGTTTGTTAGCTTTTTTTCAAAAAAATTTTTAACGTTTATTTATTATTGAGAGACAGACAGAGCTTGAGCATGGGAAGGGCAGAGACAGAGACACAGAATCTGAAGCAGGCTCCAGGCTCTGAGCTGTCAGCACAGAACCTGATGTGGGGCTCGAACCCACAAACTGCAAAATCATGACCTGAGCTGAAGTCAGACACTTAATCAACTGAGCCACCCAGGCGCCCCAACAGTTGGTTAGCTTTTAAATATAAAAAATGGCACATGGACTTCTATTTGTGTTCTTGCTTTGGACCTTGCAAATTGGAGGTTCCTGAGGGACAAACTGGTGCTCTTCCAGAGTTTTTCCCCCTAGACTGATATTGTTGACTACTATGTTGATGCTGTATCTAGGGTCACTTGGACTAGTGTAGTGACCTGGGGACACAGCCACCTCTCTAGAACATACCAAAGGAAGTCAGATTTAAAGGGAGAAATCAGGGTTGACATTTTTAGAATTATGGTGGTCTGTGAACAGCAAGGTACTCTGTGCTTCCCATATGCACATACTCTGCCAGCAACTCCTGCTTCATTCTGTCAGCCAGATTCCATTTACTTTGACCCTGACTTACTTCTGAATATGTCGATATCTATGCCCTACCTCACCAGCCTCAACCTCTGGACTGATGATCACATCAGTGGGAGAATCGCATGTTACCTGCTCCTAACACTCAGCCAGGTCAACGCACCCACATCCCACATGGGCAATGACTCATAAAGGGAAACCCAGGACATTCCAGATCTGCCATAGCAATACTCCAGACCTACTTGCACTTTTTTCCAATTCCTTCCAGCTTTTGATTTGTGGTTTCTTTTTTGGAGCTGCTCTTACTTCTTGGCATGATCTTTGACATTGTTCTCCTCCATTTTGATCTTTGGAGTTCCCTAAAGACACACCCTTCAATTGCCCTCTCCTCTGTCCCCTTGGGTAGAACAGACAGCTGGCTCCAGCTTCAGCCAATGGGGACCAACACTGTTTCTAGGTCTCCATGGCTAGCCACTCTTCCCTACTCCCATTGGAAAGGTAAAGGTCAAACCCAAAGTCAGTAACTCTCCTTCATGAATCCTCTCCAAGAGATGTCCCTGGTTGCAGGGGCTACAGACTTCCTGATAGTTTACCAGATCTTCAAATGCTTGCATATGTTAACAGGGACTAGGTAGAGCTGGGCACCCTAGAGAGACACCACTGCTTGTGGTCAATCTGGGGTCAAGGTCTCTACCATTGACCATCAACCTGCTTCCTGCCTCAGCATCACATAAACTGCCACATTTCCCAGAAAGAAGGAAAATACACTGGAGAATGATGAAAAATACAAGGAGAATGACTAGAAGATAGAAAATGAAAAAGAAAATAACGAATCAATAACATCTCAGATGCTAGGGTTCATCCCAGACTTATTTTTCATAGTGTCTGCAGCCCAAAGCATTTTCCTTGCGGCTCAGATGATCTTGATTCCAGAGTCAAATAGGCTTCTACATTTCTCCTTCCTGGTAGTTTTTAGGATTACCCAAAACACCAGGTACACAGGTCGCCCCCAGTTGTCAAAATTTAGGACAACCGCTGGTGCATATCCATTTTTAGGGTGGGGCAATCACACATCATGTTCTAAGTGAATAAAACCATCACAGAAAGTTAAATGTGGCCCAGGAACCTCAGGGCCCAGGGCACACGGTATTCAGAACTGAAGTTGTACAGCCCCTCTTCTGAGGCTTTCATGATTGCCTCCCACCACTCCCAGTTGGTTAGCTGGGACCAGGTCATCTGCTGGTCCTTCCAGGGGCGCTGCAGATTCTGCTCTGATCCCTCCGCTCTGTTTGGAAAACTTGCTCTCTGCTCATTTTGTCCAACTGTGTTGCTTGTCAACCTTCTCCTAAGCACTATGCAATTTGTGTGCCCCTTCTGTATTACCATTTACTACTCAGACTGCTCCTGGACTCCTAACTCCCATGTGAAACATCTGGAAATTAATCTGGATTGAGAGATACTTTACCATTGCTGCTCCCCCAGACCTGTACTCTGAGAAGAAGCAACCACAACTTTCCTCTTATTATTCTGTCACTATCCTAATATTGGATGTTAATTGGGATTTTATTGAAGATGTGACATTGTAATTGTTCTTTCACAATGAAATCGATCCAACAGCAGTTACACTGCCTTAGAAACAGCTCCATATTTCTATGGTATTCCTTAGTTATTTGCCCAATTTGTCACTGTCCAACTTCACTTTCTTAGTAAATTGACGTTATCAGTGGTGCCTGATGCATCAAATGTGCACAATTCAGAGGACTGCCAGATGTTGCTCTGACTCATGCCAACTGAGGAGCTATGCTCCTGTCCCCCAGGACCCCGAACAGCAGCTCTGAGGTGGCATTCATTCGAACCTCTGTTTATCAAGTGCCTCCCCAGTGCCAGTTTCTATGCTGGGATGCAAGAGAGACACAGTCTCACTGTAGGGATCTCTTGTGGGATCTCAATGTGGGAAACACACAAACCCAAAGTAAATAGACAAAATGATGAACAACACTGAGATAGTGCCGTGAAAGCAATAAATGAGTGTCATGGCAGAAAGAAGGGAAGGTCAGGGAAAGCCCAAGGACCTGACATTTAAGCTGAGATGTTTAGAATGTGACAAATGGGAATGTGGGTCAGAAGGAAGGGGCCATGAGAAGACCCTGGGATGGGAAAGGAACTTGGCAGATTTGGGGAAATGAACAACGACAATGGGGCTAAGACTTAGCAAGAGAAGGGGAAATGAGATTAGAGAGGTGGGCAAGGTGAGCTCTCCCAGGGCTCTGAGGACCACAGTAAGGATTTGAGACTTGAAGCAGGGGAGTGACATGATCTGATTTGCATTTTAAAAAGACTGTAGTTGCCATGAGGTTACCAATGATTCCATTAGTATCCTTGGGCCCAAGTCACTGTCTGCAGCTGTGGAAACTGCACAGGCTATTGGGACCCATTTTTCCTCCAAACGGGAGCCCAGGGTTAAGAGCTAAGGAGGATGGGTTTTCCTTGTCTTGGAGAAACATCCCTTTGCTCCTCAGAGCCTCACCAGGACGATCACAATGCTTTTCTCACTAGACCACAAGCTCCTGGAGGGCAAGGTAGGGTCTTATTCACTGTGGCCCCAGCACCTGGTGTCTGGGAAATCCTGGCTGAGGGAATGGTTGACTGCACTGGTCTCTAACGGTAGCATCTCAGGTTAGGGGTCTGGTGCCACCACTATCCTAGACATGGAGTAGAAAGGCCTTGAGGGGACGTCTGCAGCTGGTCAAGCACTGGGCTAAGAGAAACACACTAATGCCTATAAACCTTTGAGGCACGACACTACCTCATACTGCCAAAGCTTTTTCTTTGGGGTTCAAGATATTTTTCATAGAACTAACTTGAGTACCATCACACTCTAAGTATTCATTTATTTAGCCTATATATTCTGCCTTATTTTTTTTGCTGAGTAAACATCATTTTTTTGGAGGAGTTTTAGGTTCACAGAGCACAGTACAGAGAGTTCCAATATACTCCTTGTCCCACACTTACAAACCCTCCCCCATCGACATCCTGCAGCAGAGTGGTACGTTTGTTATAACTGAAGAACCTACATTGACATCATTATCACCCAAAGTCCGTATATTACATTAGGGTTCGCTCATGGCGGTGCACATTCTACAGGATTGGACAAATATACACTGACATATCTCTACCAGCCATGATTCTTTTAATAAAGAATCCAGTTCTTGGGCTTTCTTCCCACTTCCAGGTCAGTTCCCTTGCTGGACCCCCTGTGACAAGGTATCCGGAGTCCCTTTGTCCCAGGATGTGGTACCTGTGGTCCTTACCTTTCTTTTCTCCAGTAAAGGGCACAAAGTCTTCCCTGTCTTTCTGTTCCAAAGCCTCCTTCTCCAGGTACATAAGGAGGTGCTCACGATCAAATGGGCCAGTGGCTGCTTTCTGTGTCTGGTCTTTCTGTCGCAATCCAGCCGGTAGCAGGGCGCTCTGATGACACAGAGGTGTGAGCAGGAAGGAAGGTGTTTGCCCTACTGATGCTCTGTTACCCGCCCCCCACCCCAGCCCTGCTGATACTGGGGAGGCAGGGCACCTGTGCAGAGACGTATACGTGAACTGAGGACCGAGGTCTCTGGCATGTCTCTGAGGCCCTACTTACTCTAACATCCTGTGCTGAGAGGAAGGCTCCCAGTGAGTGCAGGCAGAACATAAACGGCTCGAGCAGCCTCTGAGTCTTCTGTAGCTGCTTTCTAGAATGTGGTGGCAAAAGTCCAGCCACCCTTTGTGGCCTCCTTCCTCACAGATCACACTTAGGTTTGGCCAGCTCTGTACCCAATGTGCTCCTAGGCAGGCATATGGAGACAAATGAGGAGCCAACATGGCTATCCTCTCCTATCTCTAGCCTCTCTCCTAGGAAAACATCCAAGCACGTGAGCAAATAGGGTAGATGCTGATACTTGCTTGATGAAGCTTAGGGATTCCTTAAGTTTCAAAACTAAAAAAAAATTTTTAAGTAAATAAAATATCCAATGTCTGGCCTATCAAAATATCATATAAATAATTTTTAGGGACATTTTTATTTATAGTAAAAACCACTATTTTGGATGCCTCTGATTCTAAGTTTAAGATAACACTATCAGGGCTGAAGAAAGTGTTTGCTAAACAAACACTGTAACAAGCTACTTAGCATTTCAAGAGCTGATAAAAATATTAGAAGCTCCACTTAAATTTACATGATATTGTTGTTACAATAACTCAAATCTATCCATTGCTGTAAGATCACCAAAGGTTTCAAGTTATTTATGCAGTTTTTAAAAATAAGATATAAACCAGATCTGTATTTGGGGGTAAAGACTTGGTTTAAATACCACCTCTGGTGTTTACTAATATGGGATCTTATATCAATTACCTCTCCTAGTTTGTCCCCCTCATATATGAAATGGGAATAAAATTTTTTAATTTTTTTAATTTTTAATTTTTTTAATTTTATTTATTTGAGAGAGAGAGAGAAAGCATGCACAAGTGGGGGAGGGGCAAAGGGAGGGGCAGGGGGCAGAGAATGAGAAAGAGAGAGAGAGAGAGAGAGAGAGAGAGAGAGAGAATATCCCAAGCAGGCTCCACACTCAGCATGGAGCCTGACACAGGGCTCGATCCCATGACCGTGGGATCATGACCTGAGCCGAAATCAAGTCAGACACTCAACTGACTGAGCCACCCAGGCGCTCCTGAATGAGAATAATATAATTTACTCCAATGGCTTCTGTGCCCAGTAGACTGTATGACCTCACAATAGAACTTTGGTAAGATTTGTTCCCTTTCCCTCTTTCTTTTCTTCCTCCCTAAGTCAGACTGTTCCTTTCTTAAGAAATGGAAAATATTTTTTACTATTTACATTAAATTGGTTTTTGAGAAATACGTTTGCCGTATTATACAGATGTGGCTACTGAGGTTCTTTATGAATTTGTCAGAGTGAATCACCCAGAACCAATCAGGGGAAGACCCCAGAATTTGCATTTGGAGCTAAGGGATCTCTCTACCATTGTTTAATGACCAAGCCACACCATTTATCCCATACTATCATGACCCATACTGCTTCAGTTCCAGGTCACTAACCTTGGGATCTAGGTCATCAAGAACATTTTCCAACTGTTTCAGTTCCTCTTCTGAGAGTTTGCCAAGAAGCTCATCTTCATCGATGTTCTTGTATTTCTCCAGCTCTTTTTGAAAAGGGAGTGCCATGGTTTCTTATATGCCCTTCTCATGGGTCATGAACATTTAAACAGACCAGCTTCCCAGGACTTCAGAATACTACAAATAAGAAAGAGACACTGTTATTTTATTTCACGAACTGGACTTATTGACAGGAGACAGGGCTCTGCTATCTGCCAACGGAGTCTTTATTGGACGAATAATTCAAAGAAAAGGTAATATCACCTCCCTCCACAGAGCAACCGGACAGCTTACAAAGGGTTTTCATATGCATTCTTTCACTTATTTAGATCTTTCCAAGCGGTCCAGAAAGGAATCCTGGACAGATATTAATATCCCATTTTACAGATGAAGATTCTGAGGCAAAGGTGGCTAAGTGCCTTGCTCGAGGCTCCAGAGCTGGCATGTGCCAGGCGTCCTGGTTCCCAGTGGAGTAGAGAGCCTTTCTACCACACTACTCTGCCTCCTCCAGCTTTCCATAGAAAACAGTGAAAAACAATGCACCAATTGTAAAGCCGTTGTAAGAAGCATACTTGTGTCTTTTCAGGGAGAGAGTGATGTGAGGAATACAAAATGGGGCTCATTCAGGAAAGAGTCTGGAATGTCCGTGTGAGAAAGCATTGTTCATTAACTCCCTGCAATTCATCTAAGTAAGATTCTAAAATCCTGACTACATACTCTCTCCATGTTTCTCTTTTCTTCTTCCCTCATCTTCTGTTCTCTTTCTAGTCCCATTTCTTTTTCTTTTTCTTTTTTTTTTTTTTTTTAAGTAGGCTTCACTTCCAGTGCAGAGCCCAACATGGGCTTGAACTCACAACCCTGAGATCAAGAACTAAGCTGAAATCAAGAGTCTGATGCTTAACTGACTGAGCCACCCAGCAGCCCCTAGTCCCATTTCCTTTTTGTTTCCTTAGTCATGCTCCCTATCTCGTTATACCTCTAGTCCATTCTCCTTCCAACCCACTCTTTTATACCACCTCACTCCTAAACTTTCACTCAAAATGAAATTTTTACTCAATCTCGTCTTTCCTGCAGAGGATTTTTCATCTCTCCTCTTGAAAGATAATATTGCATTTAGGAAATAGCAAGGTGCTTACTTAGCTGATTGTGTTTCTCCTTAGGCAGTATTAACCTCAATCAGATCTTTCAAGGCAATTAATATTTGCTGTATGCCTACCATTTGTCAGGCACAGGTCTAGACAGCAGCAACACAAAGATAAACAAGATGTGATCCTTCCTTCAAGAAGATCACAGCTCAGTGAGACACCCGCATAGAGATAACACCACTTGTTAAGTGTTATAACAGAAGGATTAAATAGGTTTAAAAACACAAGAGGGAGGCACCTGGGTGGCTTAGTTGGTTGAACATCCGACTTTGGTTCAGGTCATGATCTTGCAGCTCGTGAGTTCGAGCCCCATGTTGGGCTCTGTAATGCCAGCACAGAGCCCAGAGCCTGCTTTGGATTCTGTGTCTCCATCTCTCTCTGCTCCTCCCCTGCTCACTCTCTCTTTCTCTTTCTCTCAAAAATAAATAAACATTATAAAAAAATTAAAAACACAAGAGGAAATAATCATCAGGTAAGAGAAGTGGAGAGTTGAGGGGAAACTGTGAAAAAGGTGTTGCATTTGAGCCCTGAAGAAAAAGACCATAGATGGGTGTGGGTGGGGAAGGATTATTCCAGAGAAAAGGGCAGCATAGACAAAGGCACAAAGATAAGAAGGTAGGTGGTATGTTGGTGAAGGGTTGATGTGTTATGGGGAGAGGAAGGAAATAAAGGCAAGACAGGGACACTTGGGCAGGGCCTTCCCTACGAGTCTTGCCAAGGACGTTGGGCTTTATTCTGTCGGAGATGGGGAGCCACCACACATTTTTATTTTTATTATTATTTTTTTTATTTAAAAAATGTTTATATTTGAGAGAGAGAGAACATGAGGGGATAGGGGCAGAAGGAGAGGGGGTGAGAGAATACCAAGCAGGCTCTGCACTGTCAGCACGGTGCACTCAGGGCTCAAACTCACGGACCATGAAATCATAACCTGAGCCAAAATCAAGAGTTGGATGCTCAACTGACTAAGCCACCCAGGCACCCCCCCCACCACAAATTTTTAAAGTAAAGGAATGATCTGACAAGTGCTGTTTTTTTATAGAAAGTAATTCAAAAGGTAAGAATGAAGAATGGGTTGGCATGGGAAGAGACTGGGTGAAAGTGAGCCACTAAAGGGCTATTAGAATGTTGCTCCCTTCTCTTATTAATTCAACTGCTCACCACATTCAAGTTTGTGGTTTTCTACTTGGGTGTCTTTTCCATATACAACATAACTCTCTCATTAGCCAGATTTTTTTTTTTTTTTTTTTTTTTTTTTTGAGAGAAAGAGAGAGAGAGCATGGGAGAGCACAGGCACTGTGCCAGTAGGGGCAGAGGGAGAGGGAGAGAGACAGAATCTTAAGCGGGTTCCACGCCCAATGCAGAGACCAATGTGGGGCTTGATCTCATGACTCTGAAATTAAGAGTCAGACACTTAACCGACTGAGCCACCCAGACGTCCCTAGCCAGACTTCTTTTAAGCTTCCACTGCTATAGTCCAGTGAAACAAACAAACAAAACCCTCCTGCAAAAACTATCCCACTGAAATCAGAGAACAATTGGATCATATGCACTTTGTTCTGGTCTCTGCAACCGCTTATTTATCATGTGACACTGGGCATAGATCTAAATCTGCCAGGGCCTTAACCATCAAATGAACTGGTTGAACAATCCTACTTAAAGTTACACAGTTTTCCACATTTAACATTCTGAAATTGAGATGTGTTTTACAACGGATGATCCTACGATTACTGTTGGCCCAGCAGCAGTCAAGATGTACTTGACATTGCCTACGAATGCATAAATATCAAAAGCACCAGCTTCAAAACTAGAAGAATGGGTGTCAGGGATTTGGAAAAAAAAATCCGCAGGGCTTTAAAAAATAGTGCACCACTCTTTTGAAACCTAATGGAGAAGGAGTGAGAGAGGTGGTGACTCAGGCATGTTTAGCAACCCTCCCAAAGGAAGGCCCAGGTTAAGCTAGCTCTACATAATTACAGAGCAGGGTTAAGGGCCCAGCATTAATGCCTTTTAGTTCTTTTATAGGTTTTTAAAAAAATTACCACTCTTTTTTCTTTAAGTTTATTTATCCATCCTGAGAGAATGCATAAGTGGGGGAGGGGCAGAGAGTGAGGGGAAGAAAGAGAGAATCTCAAGCAGGTTCCACACTGACAGCTGCTCAGAGCCCAATGTGGGGATCGAACTCACAAACCGTGAGGTCATGACCTGAGCCGCAGTAGGCTGCTTAGCCGCCTGAGCGCCCCGAAACAATTACTACTCTAAATGGCACAGAGGAGATACTGTGTGGAAAAAAACCAGACATTAATGGCTGAATCAAAAAGTGGCCCAAAGGTTGAACTCTAAAGGTGAAGAACTTTTAAGAATACTAACCAATTCGTTTCACTTGCACTTTCCCTTTTTATGCCCAGGGTGATCTATAACTTAAAAAATGTATTCATAGAAGCTTTATTTCAAACCAAAAGCTGTAAATAAACTGAATGATCATTCGTAGGTCAATGCATAAACAAATCGTGGTATATCTACATAATGGAATCTATCAGAAGTAAAAAGGAATGAACTACTGAAACACACTAGAACGTGGAGGAACATCAAAATAATTATGCTGAATGAAAGAAGCCAGACCCAAAAGAATGCATATGGTATGACTCCACTTACTAAAATGCTAGAGAGTGTAAACTAATCTATATGACAGAAAAGTAAATTAATAGCTGCTTGGGAATGGAAGAGAGAGAGGGAGCAAAGGGGCAGAGGGGAGGATCCGGAAGGGGTATGAGGAAAATTTTGAGCTATACATATGTTTGTTCACTACCTTGATTGTGGTGATGGTTTCACAGGTGCGTGCATGTTAAAACTTAGCAAACTGCACACTTTAAATATATGCAATTTTAAAAGATAAATATATGCAATTTGTTATATGTAAATTAAAAGATGTCAAAAAAGTCTATGTGTAAGTCTAAAGCTGCTCTTTCAATAAAGTCAAAATTATACTTTTAAGAAAATGCATCATATTTTAATTGACAGCATTTTTTCCTTAGTGGTACACAAAATATTGATGTTTTACAGTCAGTGGTATCGTAGAGCTGATAAGATTCTATTTGTTTCTATTCCAGGATTCTACAACTATCCTCCCAATTTCACATCTTCCTGTGAAACTGACTTGCTCTCCTGATTTTCTAGATCATACAATTAATCTATCAGTCATTCACATTAAAAACTTGGACCACCCTCAGATTCTTCCCTGCCTTTTTTTTAATGTTTATTTACGAGAGAGAGAGAGACAGAGAGAGAGACAGAGAGAGAGAGAGAGAGAGAGAGAGAGAGAGAGGAGGGGCAGAGAGAGGGGAAGACACAGAATCTGAAGCAGGCTCCAGGTTCTGAGCTATCAGCACAGAGCCCAACACAGGGCTCAAACTCACAAACCACGAGATCATGACCAGAGCCAAAGTCAGACACTTAACTGACTGAGCCACCCAGGCGCCTGTCTCCCCCTTCTTTTCATGTCCACTTGGTTAGCATCTCCTGTAGACTCTTACTGCAACAGAACTTTTCACACCACGCCTTCCTGTCACTCTTGTTTTGGACCTTTGTCCTTTGGGCCTGGATTACTCTAATCACATCTTGAAAGGTGTCTGTTCTTCCTTCTAAGCCACCAGTGCACCACAATCAGATCATCTTTCTTCACACTGCTAACAAGCCACTTCTCTGGGCAAAGACTTAACAATGGCCCCCTCTTGTCTACAGAATGAAAATTCAGACAGTCTAGCATCCAAAACTCCCATAATTTGGCTTCAATATGCACTTTCTGTTTTCTGTCTTCATTACTTTCTCCAGGGAGTTACTCTACTCCAGCCAAAAAGGCTTATTCGTTCTCTGTGATAGGCAGAATAATGACACCCTACAGATGTCCAGATGCTAATCCTCAGG